AACAACAACAACAACAACAACAACAACAACAACAACAACAACAACAACAACAACAACAACAACAACAACAACAACAACAACAACAACAACAACAACAACAACAACAACAACACCACAGTACAGCCACCTCTTCTGTGTAGCCCCTGTTAATCACTGCAGTGTGATTCCTCTAAAGAGATGAATACTGTAGTTACTGTACTTTTATATTACACTGCAGTTGTGTGAGTACTAACATGTACCGAGTACTGTTACAGTACTGAGCTTCTTTAAAGTTTTTGTTTGGCTCATTGAAATTGTTCTTCCACTTTACCCCAAGTGGGGTATCTTTCAAATGCCCCGAAGTCTGGACTTAGCTTGTTGTAACCTTGTGGGATTTGTTGTTGCCAGTTGTGGATTTGCACCTTTTTCCTAGCGCAGCTCTCAGTGGAGCTGACCTGGAGTAGGAGAGAGTGAGTGTTGCTGTTCAGCCTGTGGTTATTTAGCTGAGGATTACACTGTAGTGCTGCTCTCAGGGGTGTGAACGGCCTGAGCGACACTCTTGTAATATTTAGCTGCAGTAGCAGCCTTTATAGTATTTGTAAAAGCCTTGTCTGCCTTAACGGTTCTTTCTTCAGGTAAGGATGTCCTTGATCAGCTATTTTGGCTCCCAGCTCTTGTCTTACTATAGAACGCTGTCCTATATCTGATGTAGAAGCTGCTGTTTGCAAAGTTAACATTTAAAAGTGAAAGAATCAGTTCAGTGTGAAGTGAGGAGCAGTGAGGAGCTTTAAACATCAGACGGTACCGTAGACCTTCAGGTTCAGTTCCTGGTTCAACAGTCCAACGTTGATTAATGCAAGTAATAATCACGGGGGGGGGGGGGGGGGGGGGAAAATAACATATTGTACATAACTGTGTAAATGTATTAATTTATCAGGTTAAAAAACTTAAGCAGCGTGGACTTTATTATAAGGCAAACACTTTTTCACCTCCACGGGCCGCACGAAGTGACTCGACGGGCCACATTTGGCCTGCGGGCCTTAAGTTTGACACTGGTTGAGTGTATGCAGCTCGTCTGGTGTGTGTCTCGTCTCTGGGGTCTGTAGTTGTTCATTTGCCTCCACTGTTGTTTTTCAACGGCCTCTTCACAGCTCCATCATCAACCCGCTCTTCGTCCTTCGTCTTCGTCGTCTTCTCTTTTTGTCCAACATCTTCTCTACTTTATCTAAAACCTCTACACGTGTCCAGACCATGTCAACCGTGCCTGGCTGACTTTACCTCCACGCTGCCCAACACCCTTTCTTCCCATGTCATTTTTTTTAATCCTCTCCGTCCTGATCTGCCTCAAAGCTCCATTTAAAATAATGAACTCTCTGCTGCTGTCGTTGCTGGATGTTTACGAGACCCTTATGTTGCAGAGTCAGTTGCCAAAACTGAAGTCAGTTCATCAGCACGAGTGCCTGCGATCAAGCAGCTTTTCATGGCTGGCGTTGTGACCTACATGGACCAGTTTCAACCTGACAGTAGAGAGGAGAGACACCTGCACTTCCCCCCCACTTGTTTCTGCCCGGGGGCCGTGTGACAGTGATTTAAATACCCTGGGAGAGAGGGTGGAGGGAAACACAACGCTCACTGACAGGACGCAGCGTCCACTTCATCTCCTCTTCATCACTTTATCGTCGTAGTCACAACATTTTTTCTTCATCATTCTACGTTTGTGTTGCTTTAATTGAAGTGTCTAAACTATTTATAGTGATGGAAAAAAAAGGAAAATGCTCCTACGTTTGTTAAAAATAATAAAATACATACTTGGACTTTCATCCAAATTCACTGGATTTCAAGACAAAAAGGAGCTTTTTTTTTACTTTGTCCTTAGTTCAGATCTTAGACTATGCTAAAAAAAATTAGTGAAACTAAATATGGTGTGAAAACAAATTTACATTTTTTTCCAAAAGCAATTTCCAAAATACAATAAAAAAAAACTGCCCCACAACGGCCACACTAGCCAAACCCTAACCCCCTTTTTTTTATTATTTCCCACCTCCCATCCATCTCTAAACTTTGTTTCTCTTCTCTGCCTGATTTATTATACCCATTACTCCACCCTAAATCCAGTGGAGTGCTTTTGTTTCTGCCCACTCCTGAATCAGGGTCCACACCTCAGAGGAGCGGAGGCTGATGTAAATATAAAAGAGGTTGACCACCAGACTCTTCTGGTGAAGTTGAGCAGCCTCTTTAAACGTCAGCTCAGCAGCAGCAGCCGAGGACGTCGCCTCCGTGAGTGTTACTTAAAGAGGACATCTCCGTCCTCTTTGTCCTCCGTCCCTGTCCAACCCTGTAAACCACAGTGGATGGACAGGGTGAGTTATGAGCCTGGAGATCAGACCTAGAGCCAACCTTTTTTTTTTCTTCCTCTTTGGCACTGTTCCTCCCTGAAAGAAGTGGTTCTGTCGCTGTGATCAGACCGCCGCCCCTGTGGTCCAGCTCTGTACTGCAGACCCACCTCGTTTCCCTCCTCACTCTGCAGAGGAAGCCATCAATTCCTGGCCTCTGAAGCAGAGTTTCTCCTCAGGTGTGATTGATGACGTTGGAGTAGATCACTTTTTATGAGTTGCCGCCGTGGCTTTTATTACGTTGCAGTGTGGACGCAGGGTTCAGCTGAAACAGGCCGACACACTGTCACCTCTGCTGATTTACAGGTTCACAGGGTAAGAATTAGTGACATCTACTGTTGAGAATGCTGATGTTGAGCAAAGAGAGGACATTTCTGTTAAACCTGGAGCAGAACTGACGTGGTCTAATCAGGAAAGACGACCAAGTCAGCATTTATATTCAAGAAACAAATGTTGTTCTGATCTGGGTTTGGTCTGGACCAGGAAGGAAACAAATTAAACACTTTGATCCCCTCGTGACCCCGACCCATTTGGGTTCTAGAATGTGGTATCAAACCCAGGACTCTCTGCTCTGAGGCAGCCGTGCTAACCACTGGACTACAGAACCGACCAAATCTTTGGAGACTGTGGTTTGAATGTCATGTTGTAGCTTTGG